TCCATGTTAGATGGGTGTCAAAGGTGATTCCAATGAGATTGACATTATTACTCATATTTATTTGTGTGTCTCCTAGCTTATGTTTGATTTTCTTGATAGTTTTCTTATGTTTACAAATTTTTTGGAAAAGGCTTGTGTCTTTGTTAGATTTAGTATCATTCACCATTTGTTACACATTTAAGGATTAAATTTAGTGATTCTTGGATGTGTGTCATTGCTATGAGTGGATTTCTAGATATGCTGCATACTGCTATGTTGTCAGCATATTGAGAGTGATACGTATATGTTAAGTCAGGAAACTGGATTTAGTTAACAAGTAAGATGTAAGGAGAGGCAAAGAATAAGTTCTTGTGGCACTCCTGACTACAAACCTTACATTTCAATAGTGTTAAATCAATATTGTGATAAAACGAGTGAATGGAAATGAATATAACTTGTAGATATTACTTAACAGTGTTCACTTTATTAGTCTCAAAGTAAATTATTGCTTTTGCAATTACTTTTAGGTGAAACTTTCTGGGCTCCAGGCAACAAGAAGTGTGTTTATAAGCAGCTGTTTAGGGACCAGCCAGCAACAAGTTAACTTCTAAATTGTTTTATTGGAAATTAATTTAGACTTCTTTCAGAACTCACCTTACAACTTACTGGACAAACAATGATGATGTTTTGAATTAATGCTGAGAGTTCATGTAAACAATAGTTTATTAGTACACTGTTAAAGAATTAATGAAAAGTTTCACACCATTTAACTGACTGTCACCATCTTCCCTCTTGTTTTTTATGGTACTCTTCACTTTGCTAAGATGTCGTATTAGGCTAACTAAATTATACTATACTACATCCTCCATTGTTATGTGTATAGCCTATAAACTTTAATAGAATAGATGCAACACACTATAGTTAGCTAATTTATTTATTGTTACTTATCATAAAGTATTAGGTTAACACAAGTATCAAATTGATACAGTTATATACAGAAAATAACGCTTTTTTTATCTTGCTTGTAATTTTTAACCAGTCTTTTCTTAAATGGTAATTTCAAAATCATGTCCTTACAGCAGACTTTGGAGCATCTATTTGATGTAAATGTTCTGTGGTTTGTTTATTGTAGTGAAAAAAAAACCAAAACAACTGGATGAAGATTTAATCAGTATTCCAAATCTTGATCAGTTGATAAATGGAAACAAGATCAGACAAAATGACTGCATTAATCCTGAGCTAGCTAAGAAAAAAATCGTGAAGTTTTAAAAACAATTAGGCTCATGGGCCAGATAATACTTCCCCAAGGGTTTGAAGGATATTAAAGATTGGATATGTGAGCCACTTACTACTATTTTTTGTCAGTCCTTGAATTGTGGGCAGGTACCAGAGGATTGGAAGTTAGTTAATGTAACTCCTCTTTTCGAGGGAGGTGATAAAAATTATCCCAGTAATAATAGACCCATTAGTCTTGCATCCATTGTGGGAAAGGTTTTGGAAAGTCTGTTAACAAAGTTTAGAATTTTATAGGTTAGTCAACATGGTTTCACCGAGGAATCTTGGGTGTTGCTAGCTGTGAAGAGGATGTTGCTGATTTACAAAAGGATTTAAATCATTTAGTGAATTGGGCAAATAAATGGCAGATGGACTTTAATTATAATAAATGCAAAAACATGCATGTGGGTTATCATAATTTGAATTATAAGTATAATTTGGATGAAAATAACCTCAATAGTGGTATGAAGGAAAGGAATCTTGGTGTAATAGTAGATCAGTCTCTAAAGCCATCCAAGCAGTGTGCTGTTGCTAGTGGTAGGGCAAATAGAATTTTAGGTTGTAGCTACAGAAATATTGAATACAAGAGTAAAGAGGTTATAATTTCATTTCATAGACCACTGGTTAGGCCACATTTGGAATATAAATATAAATATAAATTTTGGCAAGGTAGGAGTCATCTTCAGCTAAGACAGTTTCATTTTTAAATAGGGTGGTTGGCCTTTTGAATGGGTTGCCTTCGGATGTTGTAGATGTAGTAAATTTAAGTGAGTTTAAGAAAAAGCTTGATAAGTATATGAATAATAAGGGCTATCTTTAAGATTTTTAAAAAGTTATTTTAATGTAGTTAGAGGATGGAACAGCCAAGATGGACCAATGTGTCCCATGTTGTCCGAAAACATTTTATGTTAAATAGTTTGAAATTTCAAAAGAACTCTCTACAGATTATGTAGTCTATGCAAATAAAATATTTCAATTTTATGTGTGATATAATTTTTAAGAAACAATTAAAGATGTTTTACCTATGTTTTTGAGTTTAATTACAATTTTTTTAATTTGTTTTACATTCTTTTAAAATTCTTATAAAGGTGATAACTTTTAAAACTGAATTTTTTTTTTGTTTTGATTTGTTTTTCACTGCATGCAGTTTCACTATGTTTATAGTTATAGGTGTACAATAAAAATAACTTTTCCGTAGCAGATTCCTAAAGAAGTCAACCTTTGTTTTAACTGTTAATCACAAGGTTTCATATAATATGTGTAACATGTTTTATATCTGATTCATATTCATTTATATGTATTTTCTTTTTTAATTTCTATTCAAGCCTGTTTGATGTTTCTGGCTAGATACTTTTAACAGAAATTGTAAATAGTAAGTAGAGATGCTCTGCTTTTTGACACATGAACTACTGCCTTTTCTTCAACAAAGTATTAGGTCCTTTTACAATGGTCATACTTTGCATCAGCAGGCCTGCCATTGTTACTCTGTGTATTATATAACCCTAGGTCAATATAATTGGCTTGCCTAAAGTATTCCTTTAACCTGTGATCAACCTCTCTTTTTTTTTTTATTCTCAATTGGCAGCAGCTTTTACATCACCTCTTAAAAAATGATACATAGAGGAAAGATTAATTTACGTTGCTTCACTACACATATTGTAAATTTCCATAAATTCTTTTCTCATAGCTCATGCAGAGTATAATGGAAACATTTCTTTGATTCATTGATAGTTTGAAAAGTCATTTGTTTATCATCAGCAGATTCCCACAAAAATTGGTGTTTTCAAGAGCATTTCCATGTTGGAAAGAATAGAGAGTAACTGGAAAGAAGGAGACAAATTTTCTAACCATTCTTTCATAATGTCTTTTGGCTCATAACCTAATAAAAAATGATAATATACTCATGAACTTCATTTCATACATTCGAAAATGTCTTGATATTCTTCAGTGACTTTCAGCTCTGTTTAATAGCTGGGATGGTTCTTAACTTTCATTTTTCTTTGACTAATCTCACTGAATGTTCTAATTCATTGACTTGAGCCATGCACTCTCTTTGTTTAATCAAATAGTTGTAGTGCTGCTGCATGCCATGGAGAAATTTTGGTAGTTTTTCTTGCAATGATATATATTCTTTGTTTGAGAACCAGGGGTGATTAAGAAGTTCACAATGTCAATGTGACCCTTGAATCCTTTGCCCAAAGGACAGGTTTTTTGAGCTTTGTAGTCATTGTAGCTTGTGAAATCTGAAGCACAATTACACAGTGCACAATCTGATGTCTTTTATGGTCCAGATAACACATAACAGATGTAATTGTATTTATAACATGCTTGCCAATACCATCAGCCTGTGAAGGAAAAATTCTAATAACCATGCTATTAAAGGAAACCAGTAGTGTTACACATTTGGTTTTTGTGACAGATCACTTTCCTATTCAAATTATAAAGCAAAATTTGATTTGATAAAAGTGAACAGTTACTACCCCCTGTTGTTGAATGTATTTTGTAATAAGGCAGGTATGGTTCATTAGTTATGGGTTTTCAAAGTCTTTGAAAGCTGATTGTGGTTTGGAATTCCATTTCCAGTTAACACATTTATGGTGAGCAAACAGAATGGTTCAGAGGTATCTGCAGAATCTGGAATGAATTTCACAGGGAAACCACTAGTTCCTGGGAACGAATGCAGTGTTCTGACATTCTCTAGTTTAGTTGCTTTGAGAACAACATCCACTTTATTAGGATCACACTTGATCCTTTCCATTGTTTCAGAATGTTCTAGTATTTTAATTTTATCCACTCCAAAATAACATTTCTCTTTTCTCTAATTCCACTTCATTCTGAGTATAGAAAATCACATCCATGCAAAACCAAAGAGAACTTTACAGAATCTGTAACAACCCTGTTGCATGATGAAGGTTATCATTTTTGGGGATTCTAGTGCTAGTCTCTCTGACAAAACCTTTATCTGGCACCCGGCATTGCAAAAATATTTGAGCCTTGCATTGTATGCAAAATACTCTCAGTATTAGTTACTGAATGACGATATATTGACTTCTCAGAGGTCAACACAAAACCTCACCTTTTTACTGTCTTTCTTGAGCACTATCAGTATGTTTGATACCCACTCTGGCCCTTCAAGCACATCTTCAATTATTACATCATCAAGCATTGTAACTAGTCCATGATTGGCAACTTCCACCATGCCATAAGCTTCTCAATCTTTAAGCTATAAGTTAGATTTTATCATCATCTGTAGCCTTATAAGTTGCTTCTTTAATCAATCCAAGGCTTTTAAATAAAGAGCCATATTTTAAAATTTTCTGTAGAATTTACTATATTGTTCACATCATTTCCATGTTCAGTATTTGTAGGTCAAAACCAGTCTGTCTGCTTAGCAAAGCATCAACATTTCTGATGATAACATACATGTTATCATTTGCAAGATTTGTTTTCCATATTACTTCTTCTTTGATTCATCCCAAGCAATATAATTTTGTTTGAGCATATACCAACAATTCAGTTTCTCTTCTTTAGAACAATTTCTTGGAAAGTTTTTTACTGATAAAGTTCTTTTCATTTCCTATGTTAATTATCATTTTAAGCTTTTGTCAAATAATTTTCAAAATTTTTCTAAGTTGTTTAAGTAGAGATATTCATCAGATTCTCAAGATGTGTGTGAACTACATTCACAGATAATTTTTACAAGTTTACTTTGTCATTAATCTTTTCCTGTTGTTTTGTGGTTTTAGTTTTGATGAAATGGGTATTCCGTACTGTATCGTGTTGAGTGAGAGGACATTGAAAACTGGAATTGCAGGTCTACGTAACAGAGATACCACTATTACAGTAAGCTTTTCACACATTTTCATTTATGCATAATTCGGTTGAAGATTTTTGAAAAGTAATTAAAATTTAAAGGATGTTATACTTTGTTAAAAGTTTTGATGGTATGAAAATATTGAAATACATACAAGTCATTTTGTATTATGAATATATATTTTAAATAAATCTAAAAATTATACATTTTTAATAGGTCTATATTTTAAATGTAAAAGTAACAGTTGAACAAAATTGTCTAACAGTTATAACATTTCATCAATAGTGTTCCAGTATATTATAACGAGAAAGGTGTGATATGGACAGTTTTTAAAGATTTCCTTACCAAGAGGTAGATAGAATATTTGTTGTGAAAGTCAGTTTAGTCTGATACACTGATTTCCTGTTTTACTATTGAAATTATAAAAAATACTACATTAATCACTTTGAAATTCAAGATTTATTGTTCAGAAATATAGAAGTTATAGTCAATTTCTTGCAGCTTATTTTTAACATACACAATTAATACATTATTGCCAAAATGACAGTAACCAAATTTAGAATTAATTTTATCCCTCTGAAACATTGATGTGAAACTAAACAACATTTATACTTTTGAATGCAACACATGTCAAGTAAAACATTTGTGTTGTTGTTTAGCAGGAAGTTAATGTGATATTAATGTCTGAATGTTAGACCAGAGTTAGTAAAGGAGTCTGTTGTGACTTAGTAAGTCTGTTAATCAATTCGGGAGTAACCAGTCCATGAAATAGTTTGTCTGTTAATTTAGTTCAGTGCTGCGTTTGAGTATGGAATGAATAAGTGAGCTGAATTTCTTAGATGTAATTTATTTGTAATGTATGGCTTATATGTGAACAATGGTCATGCTAATCATGTACTTTAAAGTTGCAGAAATATAACGTTTTTGTTTTCATAATTGGACTGAACTTTCCATTATTCTTTATACTGGACCTCCCTAATAATACAAACTGTTTGTGTCAGTAATGATATTATTTAGGTAAGAGAAAATTCCAGATTCCACTTAGAGATGGTAACACATGCTTAAAATGAAGTCAAAAATTTTATGGAAATGATAAAATGGCAAAAAGAACATCACGAAGAAAGAGAAAGAAAATTGGAAGAAACAGATTGGAAGTTATGAAAGGAATTACAAGAACAGGTCATTAGCTGTACAGAGTAATAATGAACCAAATTAATTTGGTCAAAGACAAGATCAAGGAAATGTTCTAAAAAACATCAACAAACTAAAAAAGAAAAGGATAAAAAAATCAGTTAATTAAGTGAATAAGGATTACAACAATGAAATTGGTGAAATACAAAAAGACATCATCTTTAGGATAAAATATTTAAAGAATAATATGGCAAATGCCATTCTCTCCTACCTTTACATCCATTAAGAATTTCAACCTAAAATACCATCAACTATGCAATGTGAAATAGGAGAACCCATCTGGTCTACATTTGTTACCACTACTGTTGTGCCACCTGCAGATGTGGGATACTATCATAGCTACACCACTCCTTCATCAAGTTATGGTGTGTGGGAGGCCTGTTCAATAGCATTGTCCAATGAAAATATGAACTGGCTATGAAAGAAATCAATTTAACACAAATATACAATACCCTATAACCCAAGCGCTTTGAAAAGCATTCAGGTTATAGGGTATATCTTTAGGCTATGACAAAAAGGTACCATGGATGGTTTTTTTATGCAGTTTCCAAAAAAAAAAGGTTCAAAGTGATTGGATAAAGTACTAAAGTACAATTTAAATCCTTTAATTAAAAGTTGTTTACTACAAATGAAAGAAGTAAAACATAAGGCAGAAGATGTTTCAATTTCTGTTTGAAAAGATTTTTTTAAAGGATTCAGGAAAATGAAACTGCTGTAAGTGGAAAACAGGGACATGACATATAAGACTTTGATTAATCAGTTATTGGTAATAAAACAAGGAGATGACATCTTATGAATGAGAACACTACATTTACCCAAACTCATATAAAGAGTGTATTATTGAAAGTATTGAAAGGGGTCAATTTACAAGTCATTGGATTCGTTGAAATGAAGCCTAGCACCATATTGATTGATATTGGTTCTATGACTACCATTATTCAACCTTATTTGATAATTAAAGCTGGGAAATTGCCTCCAGAAATTAATCAATGCTATTAACAAATGGTCATAGAGTTTTAGCAAGAAGAAAATTGGAAGTGAACCTCACCATGAGAAGCTTCTCTACACAACATCACATGTAGATAATTGACATGTATCTACTCTGAGTTTACTTCATGTAGAAACACAGATGTCAGATTTGGTTCAAATTGTTTCACAGTCTGCTGCAAAGAAACCCCAGTGCACTATTCAAAATTTATAGCACCAGAGTTTGAACTTCCAGTGACTAAAAAATGATTATGCAGCAACCCTCCATCAATAGGAGGGTGAGACTACCTCTATCATAACTAGTGCCAGCTCTAATCTTGCAGCCCTTAATTACTTCTCGATTGACAGTCTTATTGTTTTCAGTCATGTGTCAGTTGACTTTATAATTTTTAACTTTGTTCTTTTTCAGACCTTTTCACCAGCAATTCTTCCATAACATTTTTTTTCTTACAGTTTTGATTCTTCTTGTAGAGAGTTATGATTTTTTTTTCTTTTTCTAACTTCCTTTCCACGAGTTATGCACTCAAAGTTTGAGGTGGTCACAATTACAGCAGCTCTTACTACTGAAATGGATTTACTGACCACATCTATGGGTCAGAACAATGTTAATGGCCCATGAAGTCATGGCTCTGGGGCATCGGGAGTTGGCCACTTTAATTCAACATTCTGAACAACCTGATGATTGTTCTGTTATTCCTGCTCAATGTTTGACAACACATGATGATGAGGATCTGAACAGCATTCCCCCCTCCTGAATATGCCTCCAAGTTTCATGTCGTCTTGGGGGATGTGCCCATGCCTCTTTCCTTTTTTTATGCATCAAGTGGTGTTTGGGGTATTGCCAACTCATTGGAGACTAGGGTAGAGTCTGCATACTTCCCTTTTTTCCTTAGCCTATCGTTTATCCCAACACACTGTTACCATTCCTGTATTTCACTGTCCTCCTTCCACCCCTTTGACAGTTCCGGCTTCTCGGGCTTCGGAGACTCACTGTTGTTTCAGGCATCATTTTTGGAGTGTCCAGCATTAGTGACTATGTTCTTGGATCACTTTGCCCACTTATCAAGGTCCTTTGCTGTGGATTCTTATTTTCTGATAGTCATCATAGAGGTTCTGATCCTCCAATTCGATTTACCTCCCCTGTTGTCACACCATTCCATTTCCTTCCCTTCACCTTGGGATCTCATTTTGTGCCAGCCTCTTTCAGAGGTGGTTTGAAATTTAATTCACAAGGATGCCATTGACCGAGGGGATCCTTCTCATCCAGGGTTATATTCCTGTCTGTTTGTTGTCCCCAAAAAAACTGGGGATTGGCACCTGATCATTGATTTATCATCACTCAACTGCTTCTTAGTCCGTCCCCAATTCAGCATGGAGTCATATTTAGCTCTTTGTTGTGCTTTCACTCCAGGTTTGTGGATGACAAGGGTCGATATGTCGAGTAGTTTGGTCGTTTGCCCACCTTCTTCATTCCAGGGGCCTTTTTTTTCCACCATTATATGGATGTCTGGCTACTTCTACCTTCCTCACAAAATGACACTGCCCTTCATACTCAGTTTCTTCTCCAGGAAGCTGCCAGGATATGTTTGCTTGTCAAGGTGGAGAAGTGTTTCTTCACACCCATGGAATATTTAGTTTATCTCGGGGTATTGTTAAATTTTCTGATCAGTCAGGCCCAACCTTCTCCCCTGTGATTGAGAACTATGGGATGTCTCATTCCCATCATATCCTTCTCTCCTTCTTCTTCTGCATGAGAAGTTCTTTTGGGGGAGGGGGGTGATGTGGGCTCCTCCGGAAGCTATCATTCCTCATGCCCACATGCATCATCTTCAGTGGGTTTTGTTCGACCAATGGAGCCTTGTTTGGGATCCCTTGGATGCCTCTCTCATCCGTCCTCCCGATTTACAGACTGACTTTTCCTGGTAGTTGTATCAAGACAACAACACCATCACTGTTCCTCCTCCTAGTCAGTAATGTCATCTTTTTATGGATGCTTCTCTTTCTGGTTAGGGGCATATCTCAACACTAGGGAGATTTCAGGTACTGGACTGTTTCCAAGTCCCCTCTCCAATACCAATCTCTTGGAACATCTTGCAGTTTGTTGGGCTTTGCTTCATTTCCTGTGAGCTCTTCAGGGCTAGTTGGTGATGGTACACTCTGACAATTCTCTGGCAGTCTCATATATCTCCAGGCAAGGGGGCACTCAGTCAAGAGACATGTTTTCAAACACTGGATCTCTTATATTTGGTCCACAGCCATTGAATCACTTTGTTGGCTTGTCATATTCTGGGTGACCTGAATCTGTTTGTAAATAGTTTATCGTGTCCTGACAGGGTTCTTCCTATGGAGTGATCTTTGGACCCTCAAGTTTTTTTGGGTGTTGTGCACTCAGTGGGGTGTCCCAGATTTGGATGCTTTTGCCACTCATTTTAATACCTGGCTTCCATGATTTTGGTCTCCTTTTCCTTGTCCTTTGGCTGAGGCAGTAGATTCTCTCAGTTGAGATTGGACAGACCTGTTCTTATCCTCCTATTCATTTGCTACCATGCATCCTTGCCATCATTCGGACCACTCTGTGTCATGTTCTGTTGGCTCCATATTGACTGGCCCAGACATGGTTTCCACTCTTGCACTGGCTTCTGGTGTTGCCCCCTCTTCCTTTTTCTTTATCTCCAACAGTCCTACATCAGCCCCAATCAGGCATGCATCCGTCTGTTCCTAAACTCCGCTCTTGGTCTGTCCTTTCCATTGTTTCCTCTGTTGCAGGCTATCGGGTGGTTTTGTCCACCATGTTTTGTTTTAAGAGATAAGCTTGTGTCTTCCGAGCGCCAGTTTTGTCTGTGTTGTGTCATTCCTTCCACATTTCCTGACCTCCTTACCTGGCTTCTCTCCCTGTTTGGAATCACAGCATGATCCTGCACGCTTTTACCCATTCTCTGTTGGAATCTTTTTCTTGGTGTTCATTCAGATGTTTTCTCAATTGATGATCGCTGTGTTTTGTTTCATAGTTTTTATATTCTCCTTTTTCCTGTTCTTTTCTTTCTACCCAAAACTGGCTGCTCTGGAGGGTAATTCTGCCTTGACACCCATCTCCCTTCCTTCCATATACCACCTTTATAACTGTTCAATCCTCACCAACTTCTTTACCTGGTCAGGGCTTTCCACTGGTACATAACAAGCACTGCTCCCTTCCATGGTTCCTGTTTTTTTATTCATTGGAATCCCACCCTCTCCCATGACCTTTCCCCTATTGCTCTTACAGATTTGATTTGACTGGCTTATTCTTCCTTATCTCCTGATGATTGTTGTCTTTTTCATGTTTCTTCTTATCATATCCATCACCTTACCATGTTCCTAGTTGCACATTTCTGTTATCCATTGGAGGACATCATTTATGCCAGTATATGGACCTCTCCACATACCTTTACAGCTCACCATCTGAACATTTTCTGCTCTATAGGTTTTCCTTTTCCTCCATTAGCCATTTTGCACTTCATGGTTTTTCTGTGAATGGGTAAGTGCTCCATTAATCTTATTTTATTTGCAAAAACCTTTGTCACGTACTTGGATCCCACTCAGTGGAAAGTGTTGCCTGAACAGGTATTCTCCCTCATAAATCCACACTGTAAGACCTGTGTGTCAAATTACACCCACTTTTGAGATGGGGTGTTCTGCAAGACCACTAGTAGGTATTTTTCATGATGTTTTGCTTCTTAAAAATGTTTGTCCTGGATCATGCACTCATGAACTTGCATGGGTAAAGCAGACAGGGATTGCTGCTCATCTCTGAGGATTCTTGGCATTTGACACTCATCCTACTGCAGACCTGATGTACACTTCCTGATACTGCTTGGTTGGATAATGCACTCCATCAAGGTGGTTGCTCTGCTTTTCAAAATATGGTATCACAGTCACCCATTGCACTGTTTCCAGTGCTGTGTTCCTCTGGACACTCCAATGCACTCTTTCCCTCCTTCTTGTAATAGAGTACAGGAGCCCTTGCAACTTAGCAGTTCCTAGCCACTCAGGTGGTGTATCATGGATGACTGTTGAGCATATGGTGGTGGTATTCTGCCAGTGTAGATGGTGTTGATGCACTCCTACCACGGACCTGATGTACAATTCCAGCTGTCACCAAATTTTGCAGTTTGCCCTTCTAGCTGAGGCACCCTCCTTCCTACCATCCTGTGGATATGGTGTTGGTTGGAGCTGGACCAGCCACATGAGTCCTTGTATGTTTGGATGGTTACCCTCCTACTACTGCTGACTGGATGATCCATACCAAATGCTGCCTGGTTTTTAGACTTGAGATGCAACCCTAACTTGTGATCCCTCTTTCTACTGTTTGTCAAATTTTGTGGATCTGGTGTTGGTTGTAGTAGAATTAGACTCATGAATATCTGCATGTTTGTGAATGGATACCCATCCTCCTAATGTGGACTGGACAATAAATTCCAATTGTGCCCCCACCTGGGCTCTCCAATTTACTACCATCTGCCAGATGTCGGTTTCTAGTGGATATGGTGTTGATATTGTTAGAGATGCATGCTTGCAAAGACAGGTTCTTAGTACAGAAGCTCTGCTTCCCTCCCAGTTTTCCATAGTTGAGGTGAAAGGTAGAGGACACTCTTTCTATCGCAGACCTGATGTACAGATACAGTGTAGTGTTGGATGAGGTTGAACGGTCTGTTGTTCTCTAGTCACTCTAAACCGGGAGGTCTCGTAATTTCTTTCAATTTTCATTGGCTCCCTCCTGTGTTTCTGCCATTTTGGCGACATATTCATCCTGGGCAATGAGTATACCTGGCAGTCTCCCACGGGTGTGTTGTTTTAGTTTGTTCTCACACCCTATGATTTACCTCTGGCCACTTCCTAAAGGGTAATCATCTTCTCACTGGTCATCTACCTGTTCAGCATGGGATTCTAGCTTTTTGTGAGAGGAGGTATGGTTTTTGTTGGTGAAGGGTTGCTGCATAATCATTTGCATGTTACTGTGCAGATGTCTCACATTAAGATATATGAGGGTAATTGGAAGTATCAAGGCTAGTGGTGAGCGAAAATGTATACCAATAGAGGACAGTATAAATTGAAAAAAGCTTTTTGTGAAAGGAGATTTAGGAAAATTTTAACATCCTAAAGTGCAACAGAGCAAAACTTAAAAATCAGGTGTTCAAACCAAAATGTCATCTACCATGCTTGTTTTTTTGCAAATACATTGGTGAGAGAACAGCCAGCTGGTTAGTTTTAGAGATAACTTTGTCAGAGAAGATAAGTGAACTTGCTGAAGAGCCCAAGATTCCTGTTGAGATCATTTCCAAGGTATTGGAAGGAGTGTAGCCACCAATGAATTCCCTCAAACATAGTCCTTAAGTGACAGTATGGCTAATGGTGATAAAGGAAGGATTAAAGGTCATTCCACCTTCATACCATAAGCCATGGAAAAGAAAATCACCAAAACGATTTGTCACAGGACAATGTAAGGAGAATAAATAAATGTAAAATGAAAATTTTTTAAACCAATATTAAAATAATGCTTTAGTTTTACATATTTAGGGATTTAATGGTTTAAGAAACTTTATGAAATCCTAGTAAAAGTTACTTTGCTGATATGCTTTTACATTCTTATGAAGATTTGCATAATAAAAAATAAGGAATTACATGCAGAATTAAATGTAATTTATTTGATGATTTGTTCAGCATTAGCACTTCACAAATCTGAATTTTCTGGTTTTTCATTGAAAACATTCAGAAAAACAATAAGAGCTAGATTAGGCATATATAAAAGAAATCTAGAAAAGGTGATACGTGACCATTTTTAGAGTGATATTGTTATAAATTTGTAAAATATAAGAACAAATCAAAAATACAGTGTCTGTATTAAAACTATAAAGAAGTAAAAGAAAAAACAGAATTCTACATTAAATGAATAAGTAATGCAACAAATAATTATATTATTAAAAATAGCTCTGAAAGTATCTAGTTTGTGATAAGGTGAATAAACACAAAGGTGTGAATAGAAGGTGTGGAAGTATCATTCATACCATTTACCGACAATTTTGTATGTATTATAATGCTATATATGCATAAATTAAAAAGTAAATAATAAACAAGGCAAATAGAAATGAAGTGCAAGAAAATAATGAAAAAGTTTATTTTCAAGAAGATAACTAGAGTTTAGACAAAGGAAAAATATAGAAATAACCTTTAATAAACAGATAAGTAGCTTATTTATGAGAGAAGGAAAATAGTTGGAAAGAAAAAAAATAATTATCCTGAGAAAGTTAATAGTGGTCAAAAAGGAAAATTATTTCTTTTTCATTATGCTTTTTATCTGTTTCTAAGGCAGAGGTTGATGACATCTTAAAATGTTTATCTGTAGTCTTAATGATACATTTAATTTTATTTTAAAAATGAGTTTTTCATGCACAATCACTTTAGAAATGATTAGCTTGACCAGTTTAAAGCTTCCAACATTTTTGGTAAACTATACAATGTATTAATTTTTTTGAAATTCATATGAATGATTCTTTTATTTAAACTTTCATTTGAGGGGTATGGATGTTGAATATAGTGTTCTATACTAACTGGTAACGCATATGTGTCAGTGGTGAAATGATGTTCCAGAGTTAATGATGTAACTTACTTATTGAATGTGATGATGAATTAAGAAAATTAAGTTGTTTATCATGCAGCTAACAACAAACACCTGAGATTCTGGTGTTTTTTATGAATAGAGTGAAGGTTGAGGTAAGTTATAATTTTTGGATGTAGCTTTAGGGTTAAGAGGACCCTTTTGCAGTTTTATGTAATAAAAGTGTGGGGAATAAGCAGTCTCAGACTTTGACTCATAATTGCTCTGATCATTATAACAATTTCTACAGTCTCAAGAATTAACAGTATAAGAAATACTGAAAGTATAGTGTGAATGAGAGAAGATAAATCGGCAGTATGAATGAAAGTAATGGTTTGTAATGAACAGATTTGGTCAAATGGAAATATTGGCTGAAAGTGTCATTGACTAAGAACTTTCAAGTAATGAATGATGTTTCCTACATAAGTGTAAGAGATGGATAGAAAAAAAGAGAAGTAAACTACAAGAGGCTTGCTGATTTATTAATGAATGAAGCTTTGTCCACAGTATTGTTAATTTATCATTTATACAAAATGTAAAGTTCCTTGTGACAAAACTTAGCTGTGCTAGTGAACCCACTTTAGGTTAAAACAAGCTCAGTTAGATGTGAAGGTAGAAACTGTCAGATATTATTTATATATATTTTTGTAAGTACTAAAACATGAGAATATCAACATATATATATGTTATCACTGGAATATTTATTAAACATTTTAAATATTCTTAACTGTTCTTCTGTTTTTAGGAGCAAGTCCATGTGAAAGAAATGAAGAATAAACTTCTTTATTATTTGCAGATGCAATGAGAAAATTTTCCTAGTGCATTATAATGTGCATATTAAAATGTCTTGTTTTACAGAAACAGTTGTTTTCTAAGTCTTTTTTTACTAAAGACAATCAGTTTTATTTTCTAATGTTTGAGAACATTTAAATGTCTGAGTAATAGTGGGAAATTTTATCCTCCTCTGAAGGTAATATTATTTATATGAGGGTGTATCCCTTTTGTGAAGATGGAATCCTCAGTAAGATCCCCCCCCCCCTATATATATATATATATATAAAGCTAGCAACTTCTTTAGAAATGAAACAGTTGTACAGATAACTTATAAACATATCTTATTCAGGTAAGGAGTCAGAAATAATGACAAACAGAAAGCAATAGTACAAATAAAAATTCAAAGAAGAAATAGCAAGAAAAATTAGGCCTTTCTTCCAATCAGTTTAATTCCATATCAGATTTTATATTTATGAAATTATTTCATTGAATGGAAATATTTTGAGTGCATTAACTTTATTCATTACTCAATATATGTTTACTGTGACTGTTTCAAATATAGTAACTCACAGTGAGATGAGACCTTACTAAAACCATACTTTTTATATGGTATTTTTATAATGGTCTGAGAAATGTTTTGGCATTTTAGTTTTATATTCTTTTCATAATTTTCAAAGTAACCAAGAGTTTGTTACACAAGTACAGAGAATGATTCTTTATGAGAACTTTTTGCAAAACATTAAAAAAGTATATAGATTACAAGTTAGAAAAAAATCCAACTAATTAGAATTATAATGTAAAATCTACCAAAATGGGTTGTCCTTTATAAATTACACTAAAAATATAAAAGTTCATGTTACTGTCAAGCATTGAGTCGAAAATAATCATGGAATGCAAGTACAAATAAAAATTGAAAGAAGAAAAAGCAAGAAAACTTAGCCCTTTCTTCTTGTCAATTTGTTTATTCTCAATTTTCCAAGCTCCCTCATCATTACACAAGTTCAGTTTAAACTGTTTTTATGGAATATGTATAGAGCTTCACCAAACATTATATTAAACTTGCATAAGTGGAGCCCTTCTCTAGCATATAGTACACCCTTACTCTGAAAACTATCCTATAGGTCCAGCCAGCCAACTTATACGATTTCTTTTATGCCATCCTAAGTAATTCATTCCCACATCTAGCCTGAAGGAGCACTCTTCAAAAGGCCACACATCTATTTTTATCCTTAAATCTCTGAAGGAATTCTTTATACTTTTTAATACTCTTCTATTTCACTTTTCAACAGAAACTGCTCTTTTTTTCTACCAGGAATAGACATATCTTTCATTACATTCAAATTCTATATGGCAGCATCCTTTGCTCATAAAACATCTAGGAGTATCAGACTGGACTTCTGGAATAGTTTTTGATATGTCTTAAAGATGGTTCAAAGGTCAACCATGACAGAAGTAAGCCAAACCTGAAAAAAACAGACCCTGTTAAATAAAATAGCCTATTGCAAAGTCATGATAAAGATTAATCAAATAACAAAAGACTTTGATTCTTAACAAATAGGAAAAAAAAAGGTGTTAGCTGAATATTATGCCATTTTTAAGCATGATCCATACAGTCAAAGAAGGAGGAGGCAAAATTAAGGAAAAAGCATGTACATACTCATGTTTGGTTCCTTTTCATACTTCGTAAATCTGAAATTGGTGATTTTTGGAAATTAATATTTTCATTTTTTCAAAGTATCATAATTTATGATGAATCAGTATTGATTTACCATTGATTAGGTTGCAGCAAAGAGTAAAAAAATATTTTCCTTTAGCTGGATCACTAGTCACAAGATATTTGTATTACCTATATAATCTATCGAACAACTTAGGAAGCCTTTGGTTTCAATGAATTGGTCTGGGTGTACCAGGAAATGGTACATATGAAATGTTTGTAGATCCAACTTAAGAAGAATCTACTTTGTTTCATAAATTTATTTTGTTACCTATTGTGGCCCTTTGCTCTGTTTCCTTAGAAAGCATTCAGCCATTTCCCTCTCATTCTTTTCTTCAGGAATGGTAACATTTGACATGTAGCCTAAACTGTACCACAGATTTAAGAAATTTAATGAAAACAGTTTAAGAGTCTGTGAAGGATAACATATAGTGTATATCTGCTAAAAATATTTGTCACTATGTACATTGTGGTTAAAAGGAGGTAAGCCAAAGTGGGAAAATAACATTACTGACAGCGCATATCTGTAAAAAAAAAGTGAACAGGCAGTCAAATTGATTAAAAGGAAACAAGGGATATGAGCAAAAGTTTTCAAAATAAACTTTCATTTCTCTGCTACCTGAAAAGGAAACAGTCAGTTTTGATCTCACTTTCAAATTGCATTATTTACCTTATGCAGTTCCTGCGTGGAGTTGTTTTAAGGAATGTCAGCACAGAAAGGACATTTGACATCCATATCCAAACTTCAGGAACTTCAGTCTGAACAGACTCTAATGCCAAATCAGATTGGTGGCATACACACTATGCAGTAATAATATCTCTTCCAAGGTGGTCTTTCAGAAGTTTCCACAACCCACCATTCTTCCTGGTGTTTGCACTCTCTCTCGTTGTGGTTACCTTGTTAGATGTACACGACTGTCAGGGTTTTTGTATATGGGCTGGATTCTTTACAGTAGGTGTCTGTGACATGTTGTTGATAAATTCGAACAATAATCGGACAGCACACAATCCACTTGTTTTAACTTAATATATTTAAAACAAGTCAAACGTATGTACAAAATTCTTTACACTATAGGATATCACAGTTGTATCTAAAACGAAATAATTCTCTTTTTTTTGTCGAAAGTTTACACAGGCAGATTTGGGTACTTTAGAATCCAATTGATAAGACGAATTATTTTCGCTGCTATTTCTTACTATACAATCTGAGATAAATTCACTTACGTTACCCCGTGGGTTTTATCTCGAACTTTAAATAATTGTCTCCTTTTCATCGAAGTCCACACAGATGGGTTCAATTATTCTAGAACACCCTTTTACAAGAAAAATTATTCTCTTTATCTCTGTTAAACTGTGACACTTACTTTAAAGTATCCCCCGTTACAACTTTACGTTTTCTAACTTCTTATTTTAATTGCAGGTTTTGATTGAGTGATTGACAGTTTAGTGGTGACAGGCAATTTCTAAAGAGTCAGTTTTCTCAGTTAACTTGCTTTCTTTTCTGTCTGCACATATTTATAACACGCAACAGAATAATCTAAAAATCCCTAGTACTCTAGTAGCAACAATATTACTAAAGCATAGTAAACTGCACACACAACGTACGTACGACTCGTATCGAGTAACCTAATGAAATCTGTCATAGCTTTCGCTTTTAAAATAATTAACTTTAAACACTGTTGTTATGAAAGCTAAATAATTATTGAATATTAAGTCACTAAATTAATTAAATAATACTTTACACTTAACAATATTGTATATCTAACAATGTTTTAAGTTTAATCCAAGCATTATTATTTGGATGCTGTAGACTTACAACGCTATAATCCGGGTTTCGATACCCGTGGTGGGCAGAGCACAGATAGCCCATTATGTAGCTTTGTGCTTAATTACAAACAAACAATATTATTTAGATAGTTTATATAGGGCAAGTGTAATATTTAGTTATTTTTAGAAGCGACATTTTATGGGTTTTTTATGTAACTGTTTTAGAATCATATGTAGTGTGTTTCAATTGTCATGAATTAATATTTTATAATAGTGAGATCATTGAATCATGTTGCTAGAGCTTTCTGAGTTTCTAGTTGAAGTA